GAATTGAAGTCCACTCATCTTAAAGTGGCCAGGTTTGGATAACACTGTCTTAGGTAATTGGGTAATTTAAATTATTTAACGTCTGGATACTGATCCTAGTTGCCGCTGGCTGTCACAGAATCCTGGCCACTATTTTGTCCAACTTTTAAGGATGTTGAGTATTGTTATTACTGTTATTCTTCTGTCGGTTTTGCCCCCTCCTCCAATTGGTGAGCGTTGTTCTTGAAGAGAATTACTGAGCACTCTAGACCACCCGTGTGCTACATTCGTGTACCGCTGGTTTGGTGAATCTGGTTGTGTTTGCAATTTGTGAGGACTCGTGGAAACGCACATCTCTTGCGTGAATGACAAGAGAGAGACTAGCGCATTAAGGAAAAACTGGTATTTTATAATAATAAAGCAACGCCTCTCTACCCAACTTCCTGCCCCAAAGCTACGAATTCGGAGTGATGCAAACACTGCCACGCCTCTCGCCCCGCCCACCCAAGACCAGGCGACCAGTCAACAGTTTATTGTCTGAGGAACTCAGCCCGTCGCGAGCGCGGCCAAGTCACAACAACGGGAGAGGAGGCAAGCTAAGCCGTTGCTTAGTTCCATTATCTTGGAACGCTCGCTGCCCAATCAGGAGAGGAGGGGCGCGGCTTTCACATTCTGCCGTCTCTTCCTCCGGGGGTCTGGTCTAATCAAAGAACGCAGTGTCGCGGTTTATTGCAGCCTTAGCTCCACCTTCAGGGTCTCACCCTCCAATCCGCTGGCGCGGAGGGGCGTTGCTTCGGCCGTGCCCCGCCCACTCGATCCAGGACTGCAACAGCCGCGGGACCTTAGGGGCGGCTGAGTTAGCCGCAGTGTTGGGCTGGCGCTTCTCGTGCTCCGCTCGGTCCCGGCAACACCATGGAGCGGGGCCCGGAGCGGGAAGCTGGGGCGCCAGATCCGGTCCCAGCGGTCTCCTCCGGCTCGGGGTCGCGGTTGCCGGGAGGCTTCGGCTCCGCAGAAGCCTTGGCGGCGCTGGGTGCGATCGGGCGGCGGTTGCTGTGGCTGCTCCCCGTGTATCTGGCCGGCCGGGCGGGGCTCAGCGTGGGCTTCGTGGTAGCTGGCGTGGCCCTTTACATGGGCTGGCGGAGCCGGCGCCTGGGCAAGGAGCGATCGTTGCAGGCGGCTGAATTGTTCCTGGGCGATGAAGAGGTGACGATGAAGAGCGCCACGGATCTGGGCCGGAGCCTGGGTCGGAGCGAGCTGCCCGCCTGGGTAAGAGCGCCGCGCCCCTGCCCGAAGCGTGTTAGTTGTGGAGGAGTCCCCCTCTAGCAAAACGCTCCCTCCCCCAGCTCTCCTTGCTTCCGGCATGGGACCTGCATCAGGCGGTCCTGGGTGGGAGCTGCGGTGGAGTTCAGAGCAGGCGAGACTTTCCCATATGCGGCAGCCTCTTAAGTTACGATGCGCTCCTTTAACGTCCATGCACATATGTCCTTAGGCATGGCTGCCTGCTTAGGCGGACGTCAGTTCTCTTTTCCCGTGAGGGAAGAGCCCGGCCATTTGTTTGTAGCCCAGCTAGGCTGATGTTCCACTGCAGCTGGGGGAAGGAGCCCCCAAAAGTTACTTGCCCTCAGGCTGGTTGGCCTGCCTGATGCCTGTTCTAAAAGAGCGGCTGCTGCTGCAGCAAAAAACACTGACATCTGAAAGATAAGCAACTATATTATGAGAGTCATTAAAGGTGAGGTCTCAAAGAATGCTTAAGATGCCCATAATGGTTATTTTTTGCATGTACGCTTTGGCTCAGTTATTGGTGGCTAAAAAATGAAAAAAGAAAAGAAAGAAATCTGATTTTGCAAAACAGTTTTGTGGCTTGGAGGCTCTGTAAGTAGATCCACCTTACTTTTATCATAAGTAAGGGAGCACACTTTTGAGTCTTCAGGGTTTCTTCCTTAGGGTGAACCTAAATGGTTTCATCCTGTATCTTTAGACCAAGCCCTGCATCTCCTTCAGTGAACTGATTTTGAGCATATACTGGGCCTCTACAAACATTTGGGACTAGTGGGTGCATTGAGAAAATGTTACGGGTGCTCTCAGAACATGGGAGATGGGGGGGGGGTTGCCCGTTCATAAAAGGGCTGCCATAATCAGTTGCAGGTAACTAGTTGGCCAAAATGTGACCTGCCACTCCCTTCCTCCAGAACCCTCCCTGTCGCCTTTGCCCTTTACCTGTATAGCTGAGCATTTCCAAACAGAGCACTGGGCTGCTGCGGTCAACCACTTTATTTTCTAGGAAAACATTTGGGGCCCCAAGGTGTTCTTGGAAATAAATATGATGCTGGAGGCTGACTCTCTTTTTTTAATTGAATGTAAAAAGTCAGGAAGCTTGGTGGACACTAAGGGGGAGGTTTATGGTATATGGTAGTCTCCAGGCGTACAGACCTAATACTCTTTTCTGCTGATTCTTGGGTTTCTGGCTCCTTCCTAACTTGAGTGGCAAAACAGTCACACCTCCTGATGTGTGAGTCTTTCCCCTTTGTGAATGTGTAAACCTAATGAATAACAAAATGTGGGCATAAAATGCCTTCTCCAAGCTGTTTCTCCCTTCCCTTTTGCCTTATCACTCTCCAGTATGCCCTGCCAATGCAAGATAATCGCCTTGGGCTATTTCATAGGCTATATGAAGGGGCTGATGAATTTCCTTTCAGCCTTATTGTTGAGCTTAGAACAGAATAACATTTGTAAAGGGCTCTGGGTTTACTGGCTTTTATTATTTGCCAGTAATAGGAACCCTTTGGTAGGAACTCTGGTTTCTTTTTCTGGATCTCCTTTCAGCAAGTCTCTTTAGGCCAGCCTCCTTCTCCAAACCAATGAGTTCTGCCTGTGTTGGCCTTCAATTCCCAGAATTCTAGAATAGACTGTATTGACTGAGAATTCTGGGAACTCGAGTCATCAACCTGGAATTTTCTGTGTTTGCTGCCCTCCCTGGTAGAAAAATTAAAAGCTCTATCCCAGGAGAAAGCAGAAGCAAACCTCATCTTACTAAATGTTTGGGAGATTCATACAGGCTCCTTTGCAGAGCAGTTGCTGCATTTAGCACAGTCTGTTAATGCTGCTTGTTCTACCTTCCATCTCCAAAACTCCCTTTTTCACTTCCCCGACTCTTTAATCTTTTGGGGGGCCTTGAAGGCATTTGGAATTGTGAGGACATGTTGCTGTGGCCACTTTCAGAAAAAGTTGCCTTGTTGCAAAACAGCTGCCACGGTGGGCATGGGACACATGCTAAGGACGGATTTAGCAGGGCATCAACTGGCACGTTTATTCACCCTCAAGCAGCCCCCATTCTGGTCTTCCAACTCGGCTTACCTCTGTCTTTTGGTGCGGGGGGGGCAATGGACATACTTCCAAGCAACACACAGGGCTGCAGCCACCCACAGCTTGTATTTCTATATAGTGCCTATGGGGTTGTGAAAAAAAGGATGATGTTATAAGCTGATGCTTTACTTTGCAGCATATCAGCTTCCTGCTTAACATTTTATATTTTTAAAAGGTCAGGGTGAAGGGGGGGTACATTGATGTCCATGAGTATAATGTTGTCTCTGCCCTGTTCTAATCATCATGTTCGGTAGTCTCCATATTTGCTATCTCTACAATTTCCTGTCGGCATCCTGTTTCCCTTGAGAAAACCCCATCTGATTTTCCTGTTTTTTATGCACAGTACTTTCCTAAGATGTATCAGGATCTTGTAGTTGTCTTCTAGGTTTCTGACTGTTAACTTTTCTTGGCTCTTCCTCTGCATATGAGCTACAGAGGATTTGAGCAAGCCCAAGCAACCAGGCCTGGGTAAGAATAGGATAAAACACTATAGATGAAGCTTCTTCAACAGAGCTTTCTTTTGCTTTGGTGATATCCTTTCATTAAACCAGACTTCTCCTTGTGGCTCCAAAATGCTGCAGAAGGACAGACAATTCCTTCAGAGCTGAAAAGGAATTGTTAATTAATTTGTGTGCCTCATCTTTGTTTTAGTAGGACTCCTTGTCTTAAGTGCTCCATTGAGCAGAAGTCTGTGCAGAGTTGAGTACTGGTACACTGTCTGCTAAATATGTAAAATACCCTAAGTATTAAACAGTAATGCTATTGTTCAGCTCTGTAGTTTGGCATTTGACAACTTTTCTAGGATGAATTCATGCGTTATTACTTTCTGCGTAATTACTGCTCCTGTATAACTTGGAAACACAAACCGAGTACTGCAAGTTTCTTACAATAGAGATTGTTGCCTCTTGAGCAAATATCTAACAAGGGGAGACAATGATGGACTGCAGTAGCATATTTCTGCAGTGGATGTTGTGACATGTGAAGTGTTGAATTTGCCCTTTGCACATATATTCACAATATATGTGAGTCTCATGAGACATAAGCCAAGAGCCAACAATTCTGAGGACAGAGATGTCAGTTATGTCAACAACCAGCTGCCGCTCAGCATGTGACACTGACTCTGTTGAAATATGGGAAAGGCAGGCAGAATAAACCATAGGTTTATACCGCCCTGGATATAAGAAGGAACTGCGTTCTTATTCTGACAGAGGGCAATCTGCTGTTAAATACATCTTGCCAGTCTAGCTTGCAATAAAAATTCTTATCTAGATCTATGCCCAATTTGATCTAGCCATGTAAAATTGGGGGTTGGAGATTTAGAGCCAGCTGCTGATTTGGGGAGCCTGACAAATTCTCCTGAAACCTGTGTATAGTTTGCAGATACTATATTGCTGCAGGGCGTGCAATCCTTGGTAAATCTCCAGATACAGAGTACTGCACAACTGAGTATCGTCCAACTGACCCCTAAAGTGGCTGAAATATATGCTGGCTTGTTTTAAATTGGACCCTTTGCCATAGAAGTTGTAAAGAGAGAATCTTCCCGTCCAGAGAATGGATCTTCCCATTAATAAATAAATTAATACATGGGTAATTTTTTTTGCTGTACTAACATATTTAACAGAATGGCTGGGTTCACACATTGCGCTAAGCTGCAGTGTTGTATTATGCTTTTGAGTTAGCATGTTGTGTGAGACCAGCTATTGTAGTTTGTAAACCATGGTTAGTAATTTTTTGGGGAACCCAGTTGTTGTGGCTCATTTAATAAATCATGGCTAGCCAAACCCTAACTTTATATCAAGTCTGTAAGTTATAGCTGAAGATCCCTTGTTGAATTTATCTACTTGTCAAATATGCAGAAGCCTAATGCCCTCATGCTGTTGTCTTTACGTCTTTACAACTAGCTCTTTCTTGCATCCTCTGGCTCTCCTGTGTTACAGCCTCCTTCGTATTCCAACTGTCCAATTTTGGATTCAGAAATCATCTCCTGATGAGTACCTGCTTCCTAATTGGATTTTTCTTTCTGTGCAACATATAGAGAAAAAAGGATAGGATGGAGATGTTGCATGTTTAGATCTGCTGTGGCCAGAGATGATGGGCCAGAATATTTATCTCCACCTCTTGTTATTGATCAGGATAATGTGAATCCATTGGAAGTAAATATGTGAACTCCCTTGCTGTAGAACAGTGTTTCTCAACGTTGGCAACTTTGAGATGTGTGGACTTCAACTCCCAGAATTCCCCAGCCAGCAAGGGGAATTTTAAAGTTGCCACACATCTTAAAGCTGCCAAGGTTGAGAAACACTGTAAGGTGGCCTTTGTGGGAGACATGCATCCTGACTGTGCACGCTCACGAGCTCATCAATCTCTCCAGCATGCCCACTTGGTCTCTTACATCTTAATGACGTCTCCCTTCGTCCTTGCTGGTCTCGGGCATATTAGTGGTGGGACCTTCTAAGTGTTTTTGTTCAGCTTGCCCGCACAATGGTCTTTGAGGAAGAAGTCCGCACCCTTGAAGACAGTTCAGTTGGACAAGCTGAGCAAAATGCTTCGAAGGCCCTCTAAGCAGGCTTGAGAATTTTGCCTGCTTCCCGGTGAACTCCTTTTGTTCTTGCTGGGACAACCTGCCCACTTTGGCTGCGGCTACCAATAACGTTGTTTTTGCAAACTGGCCTATTTTGCCCTGCTTCCCCTAGAGATAAGAGGGAGCTTCCTCGTTCCCTTTCTCCTACTAGGGGGAGAGGTTAGAATGCTTCCGCTTTTGCCAGCAAAGATAATCCCTCTGGAGGCATTTTAGCTAGCTTGTCTTCTGTGAGGTTCACTCCCTGCGTGTCCAGGGGAGAATGTTGAATGTAGGCCTCTAACTGTGAAGGGATCACGGGGATATATCTTCGAAGGTCTGCGCT